TTTGGCAAAAAACCGCGGGTAACGCGATGAAAAATTGAAAAAATCCCAAATCTGATAATTCCATCGTGATTAGCGGACAAAATTACTTAAGAATCAGTCAAAAAACTGGCAAAATAGCTGTTAAATTGCTCACAAAATAGTCATTTATAATGTATTTTAGATGAAAATGACGATTTTCGGTTTCCGTCAACTTTGAGGCCGATGAGGCACGGGTAAACGTTGTCCGATCGGGCTAAAAATTTACAGGGCTTATTTTTATGACCAACCTCGCCTGATAAAATACTGCCGCATGTGAAAATCGAAAAAGTCCAAAAAAAAAACTACCCTAATGAACAATGCAGGCCCAGAAATTGAAATAATAGATCATTTCCAGGGGCGCACATAGAAAATTTGCACAAGGGCGCCAGAGGAGTGAAAAAGGCACTGTGCCAACGAAACATTTCAAAAATATCCACTAACAAAAATTTTGACTTCGGACTTAAATTAAAGTCTGAGCACTTGGAATCAGCATTAGCAATTAAGCCCAATGAACACACGTAATGCTAAATATTTGTATTTTGTGCATATTTTAATGTAATGCTAAATGTAGCACTAAAAGTGCAAAAATTGTGAAATTTTTGGGCCGATTTAGATAAAATTTTGTTTCTGGGCACAATATGTGTAGAAATTGTGCACGATTTGGGAAAAATTTACTATGCACAATAATTGCACGTGTTTGGCTCATTAGGAGTCGTGCGAATCAGTACTCAAATGTATTAGATAGTATCATTTTTTTTAATTTGTCTATTTTTCCGTTGACAACAAATCAAGTTTTTAGGTACATGGTATGAAGTTGAACGTTCATTCTATCTTCCTGAATTTGCAATGGGGTGTACCCTTTTGAAATTTCAAGAAGAAGAAAAAGCTTCTGAAACAGATCGTATTGAAGTGGCTGTAAAATCGATCAATCAATGGTGAGCAAATATTCATTACCCACATTATGCATATTTTATTTATTTGTTCTATTTGCATTATTAGGACTGGAAGCGCATCCATTAACATAGGCTATATCCATCCTGAAACAAAGAATTCATCCATTATGGATGTGAAGGTCAGCTGATTTCAGTCAAACATTGTTGATTTTCTATCCCAACGAAATAAAAAGAAATTCCTTATTACATACAGTTTTCAACCCGATTACCGGATGTAGTTGCTAGGTTCTTGCCTGGTGCAGGGCGATACCAAGTCCTATACACAGATTATACAAATTTTGCGATTTTGTGGTCTTGTTCGAGTATTGCCAGTCTCGGATATACAGGTTCAGAATTGATAATAACACACTTCTACCGTTTTTCTTTTCTCTGCCACAAGAGCTGGAGTATATCAGCGATTTGGGAGACCGAAATCTAAGCCAACGTTATCAGCGAGGGGCAAATCACTAAAAAGTAATTTCTAATAAAGTAGAAAAATGAACATAATATGTAAGTAATTTGTGGTATAGATGTCACATTAGACTGCTCCAAAAAAAAAGTTGAGATATTCAAGCTCCCCGAACGGTTTTCGAAAATTGGCCTCAAAAAAATAGGTTTGGCATCAAAAAATCGAAAAACGTAGAAATGAAACCACTTTCTCAAAATTCATGACATTTTTGAGTAAGGTAGTTTCGGAAGCCATTTTAGATCGCAACATTTCGACCTAAATCATTTTTCCAGCCCATTTTCGGCCAAAACTGTTGATGGGGTTACAGTGTAATGCCAGTTACAGTGTAAAATGACCGAAAAAATGGCAAATTTTCGGCATTTCTTGCATTTTTTGCTCTACTGGTCACCCAGGTGGTGAACTTTTGTTCAGTTTTCGACTTGTGTCGTGTAGCCAAAACCTGTACAAAAATTTTGGTACTTGTCAGATTGCGATTTGGATGGAATTTGGCGACAATTGTTTCACACATATAAGACAAATTTCAGGCCAAAATACAGATTTACAGGCAATAACATATTATTAACTGAACCCGTGAGCATAAAAACAACGTATTGACTCTTCGCCGATGAAAACGAAACGCAAAAAAATCGCCGAACAAAGTGAAACACCAATCTGTTATTGGATCACTATATGAAAATCGAAAAAAATTTAAACTTTTTTTTTTCGACTGTTGCCTATTTCAGATCGTCTACATGGGAAGTTTGTTTGAAATCCTCGGAACGCGGGTTCACGCCGCTGTGAATACATTGGTTT